GCCAAGGCAAAAATGTGTGAGCCAGAGGCTAAAAAACAGTGAGCTAGCTCACACTAACTCAGCTTAGCGGGAACCCTGGTGGCATCCTCTCCCCTCACGGCAGGAATCGGAGAGCGAGGCCTACATGAAACAGTTGCTGGAGGTGGATACGAAGATGGCCAGTGAGGGTAGGGGTGCCTATATTCGTATCCCTGGGATGAGCAAACTTGTCACCCCACTCTTCCAGGTCACCCGGAGACATCATGTGCGGGTGTGACATCCATCGCCTAGGTGGCTGAGGCGGGGACCACGGAACGGTTGCCACTGGCTCGCCAGCCCGCCCACTTCTACTTTCCCATCTGAGATCGACACCGGAGGGGATCTCAGACCCGGGGACAGAGTCCGAGGCTTCTCCAGAAGAGCTGGAGTCGGCTCAGGAGCGCAGGCAGGAGCACGTTGTCGAGATGCAGCCTTCTTCGCTGATGGCTCAGGAGAGGCGTGATGAGCTGGAGGGGAGTGAAACTCAGGGATCCGGGAGGCGGAGCCAATTCCGAGGACGTGGCGATGGACAATGTTTCCGGGGCTGACTTGGATGGCAGCTCCAAAGCGTTGAGGGCTTTCTCCCAGAAGGCGGCTTTACGTTCTGATGCCCCATCCCCCCGAGCTTTGGGGGTTAAGCGTTGGGAGGCCTGACATGTTCCCTCTAAGCTATTGAGTCTTGTGAGCGAAAACTCTACTCTGTGAGCTACCGGCAGTAAAGTTGTGAGCGAGCCATTTGGCTGCTGCATAAATTAGTTAGAGCTGGAGCCCTCCTTCCTGAGCGGAGACAAAAATGTGTGAGCTGGAGGCTCAAAAACTGTGAGCTAGCTCACACCGACTCAGCTTAGAGGGAACACTGGGATGTTGTGGCCGTCACCCAAACAAAACAGGCATCGGTCGTGTTCCTTGGTCTGAGTCGTCTTTTTGCAAAGGGCCTTCTGAGCCGTGGTATAAACTCAGAAGCCAGAACAACCCCAGTGAAACCAGGGAAGCAATCCCATCACCAACAGGAAATTGGAGACTCCAAAAAGACAACCTTCTCTTTCAGCGACAAAAGAGGAGGGGGGGGGAGCATATGGGAGCAGGTGGTCCCCGGGCAGGAACAAGTTTCTGGCTCCAGTGCACAGCACCCCCTGGAGGCTTTCAGCTGTAAGAACCTCTCCGTCGGCAGGCCTGCGAGGACTGACGATGAACATTCAGGTCCCCCTCTTGCATCAAGGGTTTCTCTTACACTTTTAAATCCTATGAACACGACTAACAAGGGACCAGTTCTTAGAGTTAAACGGTTCCTTCACCCTTTCCCCGGTCTCTGCCCCTCTGACTTCGCCACCCTCCCCAGCTCCCGAGCCCCCTCTTTCGTGCCAAAACGAACCAAAGCGCTGCAGTTCTTCGGAGTGCCGCAAAGGACTGTGCTGAACGGGGACCACAACGGCCAAGGCCCAGGTTCCCCCTCGGACACGATTCTGCGCCGGTTGTTGCCTCTCAGCTGAGCTTCTGCCACTGGCTTGTTGAGTGAACAAAACGGCAGAAACTTTATGCGCACGGCACTGTCACATGGGGGGGGGGGATGCAGACAAGAGATGCTGCCCCTGGACAGGGGTCAGCAGTCTCACCCTTTCTGAGCCTTTGAAATAACCTTCCTGGCTTTTCAAAAAACGCCAGCATTCCTTGGTGCCCTCTCCCATTAATGAGCACCAGGGGTCAGAGCGTGGGACCAGGATTTGGGAGACCCAGGTTCGAATCTTCGCCCCCCCCCCCAGCCTCTCATCTACCTCACAGGGGCAGGGGTGCGGCTGATGTTGAAAGACAGCACTTTGCCTAGCTTAGGTAAAGGTAAAGGTTCCCTTGCTCGAAAGCCAGTCGAATCCGACTCTAGGGTTGCGGTGCTCACCTCCGTTTCAAAGCCGATTACCTTCCCAAGGAAGCAGTACCTATTTATCTGCTTGCAATTTCTTGCTTTCAAACAGCTAGGTTGGCAGGAGCTGGAACTAGAGACGGGAGCTCACTCCATCATGCGGCACACCCGGGTCTCGAACTGCTGAACTACTTATCTTCCACAGCCTGCAGTTCAGCGTCTTAACCACTCGAGCCACCGCAGCCCCCTAGCTTAGGTACGTTTTCCAAATTCCATTTTCATTAATCTCATTTCTGAGTGGCAACTCTAGCCTAGACCAGGTGGGTTTGCTGTGCTGCTCCCCTGAAAATATGTGTTTCTCAGTCATTGTCAAAGCTGCCTGGTGAACACTTAGGACAGGACAGAAAGAAGAACTCCACAAACACCTTTGGCATAAAAGCCACGGCTTATGGCAAGACGAAGAGAGTGAAAACACACATAAAAGGAAACAAATCTTTGACGAATCTCACTGAAGGCCAGATCAGATTTTACAGCGAGTTAGGAGAACCAGGCAAACGGGCTCAGGCTGTTGACCAGAACAGGCTTAGCCACGGAACAACAGAGTGAAAGAAGACCGTGCCACCGATGTCCACGAGGCTCCACTCCTCAGCCTGTGAAACATAAACCGGAGCTTCTAGCCAGTAGATGGATAGCGCTAGTACCGTGCAAAAACTGGCTCTCCCAAAACCACAGCACTAGCGGGACGACAGAGGTGCCACGGAAGAACCAGATACACCGCAGCCTTTCCTCACGGTGATTCACATGAATGCAGGATGCTACTGTCTACTGAGTCCGACCCTTAACCCACCAAAGTCAGTACTGTGTACTCTAACTGGCAGCAGCCTCACCTGCCACCGGATTCTTTGAGCTGGAGATGCTGGAGGTTGAACCTGGACCTTCGGCAGGCCAAGCAGGTGCTCAGTCTTCTTTCCTCATCACTATGCTTCTTTATCCGACCAGTGATCCACCCCCACCCACCCCCCAGTGACCCCCTGCTCCATGCCTAGAAGATGGCAAAAAAACAACAACCCAAACCCTCCAGGGTCCCTGGCCAAACTGGCCTGGAGAAAAATTGCCTCTTGATCCCGAAGCGGCGATCAGCATTTCCCTGGGCATGTAAGAAAGGGCCACGAGAACTAAGCCCTCAGGCAACCCTTCCTGCCCCTCCCTCTCATGATCTGCCTGAGTTCACACAATCCGCATTGCTGTCAGATGGCCCTCTAGCCTCTGCTTGATCTAACTGTCAGGAAGTTCTTCCTCACGTTTAGCCGAAAACTCTGATTTAATTTCAACCCGCTGGTTCTGGTCTGACCTTCTGGGGCAACGGAAAACAAGTCCACACCATCCTCTATATGACAGCCCTTCAAGTAACTTTAGTTTAGTTGAATGGCTTCTTTTCCTGCCTCCTCACATATTTTTGAAAACAGCAACACCTTCAAACTAGAGAACCTGGCAGTTGACAATGAGCTTTAATGCAAAAACTGAAGTCTGGTCACAGCAGCAGTTCCAAATGCCTCCAAACCTGCCCCTTCATCCTGCAAGACCTACCTCATTGTCACACGCCTCTTGTTCTTTTGTGTGCTAACGTTTATTCTTTTCCCCAGTGGACATGGTGCAGTTTCACAGGTAAGTTTGATTTTCTGTGGGCAATCCACCCTCCCCTCCCAAGTGCCCAGCAATACAATGAACCCTCAAAATTTGGCTCAGTATGAAATGAGGAGTTCCTGTTCTCAACAACTGGACGAAGGTGCCTCCTCACTGCAGAATTCCAGAATACCTGTGGATATTGTGACTATCACCCCAAATCCTACCGAGTCGGTCAGTCTAGGAAGCACAAAGAGATCCTGCCGCCGAAGACTTCGGGGGCGAAAGAAAAGCCAAGGAAGCGGTCGGACTCAGCAGCGGCATACAGGAGGGGGAGGGGCAAAGCAGGAGGCGTGCAGCGATCGCCTTCCGCAGCAGTCCGTTCTGAACCTGTGGCCCCTGTTCCCACGGGACAGACGGGAAGTGGAAGTGTGTCCAGGCTCAAATGCAAAAAACCTACCTTGACGCCATCGGACTTCTTGTTCAGTAAGCTTTTGGCAGCTGCAGAGAGAAAGAAGAGACGGGGGGTCAGCCTCGCTGGGTGAACTCTCGCTCCCCGCCCGCCCCCAACACAGCCTCACAGGAGTGTTAGTCAAGAGTTTCCCTTAGGAATTAGGATGACGACAAAGGCCAAGCCAGATCCAATTAGGCAGATTATAGAAGGGCAACGGCTGGTGTGGCATTCACAGTCTCACACGGGAATCATGCCTCTTCCAAATACACCGCTCAGCAGGAGGGGCATTTAGAGCTCGGAGGATTTTGCCAGCTCTCCTTACTTCCCTCTTCAATATCCAAAGCCAATAGTGAATACTGAAGAGATAATTAAAAAAAAATAACTGTCTTAAACCTTAAACGCTGAATCTTATCCCTTGAACACAGTCGTTTAACACTACTTCACCAAACACCAGTGTATGGCAAGGAAAATCGTCAACATCGGAACACATGGTATCCCATGTGTTGTTGGTCATGTGACACTAGTCCTTGGATCAGCCACGAATGCATGCTGGGTGGGCACAATGCACATGACACACCTTTTTTTTTTGCACATGACACACCTGACCTCCGCGTTGGGAGATTTGCAGCTGGACATTCTCACCACTCTGACAAACCCACTAAGAGCCCTGCTGGGATAACAGGCACAAGAAACAACGGGCGTGGGTTTGTTGTGGGGGAGGGCGGGAGCCTAGAAGTGGGGCAGTCGCGGTGGCAGCCGAGCGGGGAAGCCCAGAGACCGTGTGTGAGACGAAGAAGGTCAGCAGTTTTGCCTTCGACAGGGCAAGGCCTTGTCCCCTCTTCTGGGATGAACAACCAACTTGCAGGCACACACACACACACACACGTACAAAATGCAGAGCGTGCTTTTCTGCATGTGTAGCAAAGGGACACGGGAGAAGCCCAATTGCACACATGAGCCCAGATACCCACAATCCACAGACAAGCTTTTGCTAGCGACGCTGTGCTCCGGGGCCGACAAACTGCCCAAACGGACAAACATTCGCACAAAGGAATTGCTGTACAAACTGCTTGTGGAGGAGGCCCGTGGAGGATTCTGAAGAGCTGGTGGGGGACACAAGTTTCTTTTGCTAATGGCCCCTGAGACTTACTCGGGACACACCTGCAGGATGGTAGGAGGGAAAGACCAGTGGGGCAATAGGAAACCTTCATGGCCAGGAGGACTCCAGGATGGGCCACAGTTCCCAAGTCACACAGAGAACATTATTCTTTAAAAACCTTGTGGTTGCCGTGAGGGCCAACTAAGTGTCTTTGTACTTACAACCACACGGAAGCATGCACTGGACCTAGTAGCCAGAAGTCCTGCATCTCAAGCCAAAATACATGCGTGTGCACATGTGGCAAGATTTTTGCAACAAGACCATTCATTGGGCACCACCGAGGGCCTTGTCTGACTGCCGGGACAACACATCCCCCCTTTCCTCCTGCAGAGGTGCGGCCGTGGGAGGGCTTTCTTTGCCCTGTGACATCACCAGGTATTCAAATCTGACTGGCTACCGGACACCAGGGCACCGTCAGGTTCACTGTGTGTTCACCATTTAGCTGGGATCACGCACTAAAGGACCCGGAAGGGGGGGGGGCTTAAAATAGGACAGAAAAGTGGCACGCATTGAGTCTGTGAACAAGAATGACAAAAATCTGATGAACTGTTCCGACAAGGTCAGGCCAGGCGTGTTGTACCCCTTACAAACCCAATTTTCACCATGAGCACTAGACTCAATGCACTTATTCTACGGCTTCACAGGACATCTAAAAACTGGAAGCCCTAAACAGAGCCGCGCATCAGAACACGATGCAAACTCAGTTTGTCTGCCAAGAGCAGCATTTGAGATTCAGACTGTGGCCTGCCTCAGGTATGAACGTGGGTCTATAGGACTTAACACACACACCCGCCCCCCTTCTTCCCTGCAGGAGACGCCAGAGGGCAGCCAGGCTGGTCTGCAGTCAAGCGCGCGGGGTGGGCGGCAGTGTTCCCTCTAAGCTGAGTTAGTGCGAGCTGGCTCAGAGTTTTTTTAGCCTCCAGCTCACACCTTTTTGTCTCGGCTCAGGGAGAAGTGCTCCAGAGCAAACTAATCGATGCAGCAGCCAAGTCGCTCGCTCACAACTTTAATGCCAGTAGCTCACAAAGTAGGATTTTTGCTCACAAGGCTCCACAGCTTAGAGGGAGCCTTGGGTGGCTTTTTCCCAGTCCAGCTGCACCGTGGAGACCACTCAGAGCTTCGGGTCTCTGACACTCGAAAGCGCCTCACCTCCAAAATTGTGTTGGTCTCTAAAGGTGCTCCTGGACTCGAGTCTCGCTGTGCTTCACACCCACGAAGCCGCCTGATCCGGCATCCGTCCACCAAGGTCAGGCCAGGAGCCCTCCCGGCGGTGAGGCGGGGGACTCTCACGTCACCTACTGCCCAGTCCCTTTAACTCAGTGGTGGCGAACCTACGGCACGGGTGCCAGAGGTGGCACTCAGAGCCCTCTCTGTGGGCACGCGTGCCATCGCCCCAGCCAGGCCCAGAACATCCTTAAAGTGTTGAATTCTCTGCCAAATAATTTTAAGTAAATGAAAGCCTTTGGGATTGCTTTCCTTACTTTGTTTGGATCATCTTAAGTTAACGTATGAGTTGCTTTTTTCTAAAGCAAAACCTCAGTATTCAGGTTAAACTGCCGTGTTGGCACTTTGCGATCAATAAGGGGGTTTTGGGTCGCAGTTTGGGCACTCGGTCTCTGAAATGTTTGCCATCACTGCTTTAACTGGTGCTGCTCAGGATCGAGCCGGGGACCTTCCGCTCCCCCACGGAGTCAACTGTGCCTCCCTTCAAAAATAGTAATGAACAAGTCCCCTTTTCAGTGGCTCCTGCACCCCCAGTTACAGGATAGAAAAATGGGGTGGGGGTGGCTGGTGCTGCTTAGGATCGAGCCGGGGACCTTCCGCTCCCCGACTGAGTCAACTGTGCCTCCCAGGAGCGGCAGGTAACTTTAAAAATAGTAATGAACAAGTCCCCCTTTCAGTGACTCCTGCACCCCCAGTTACAGGATAGAAAAATGGGGTGGGGGGGTCCTGCTTTTGTGCTCATGTGCAAAGAAACAGTTAAAAGGCTTTGGGATACAGACCCGCTTTCCCTTGCAAAACGACAACTGTCCGGAGTCTCCAAGGCCCCAGGAGACCTGCTGACTTGACGTCTCCCCAGGAGCCTCCCTGCTCCGGAGGGAAGAGTTTGGCAACATCTCAGCCCGGGCTCCTGGGGCACAACAGGAGGCGGGCCAGGAAGGCCTGGTGTCCCCTCCCAGAAGTCCAAACTGGGCACTGGAATTCCCTTTGCGGGGCCCACTGGCAGGACACGCCAAGCCCCCCCCCCGGCTGCTCACAGAGCGAGGGCGTGGCTCAGACACAACAGGGTGGGGAGGAGGAAGCCGAGGTTCCCATCCGTGTCCCCCTCCAGCCCCGAAATGGCTCCTTCAGGGAAAGAAGTGAGAGCCCCCCCCCACACACACACACATGTCGTCAAAAGCAGGTCCCTCTCTGGCGTCTCCATTATGGTCCACGTGCCACAGGTCGGGAGTAGCCACGCAGCCATCACAAACCCCTGCCTTGTGGGTACTGGGGCAGGAACTTGGCATGCCCCACTGGCTGCCTCCACAGGCAAGCGGCTGATGTGCACCACTCACCTCCTGTCTAGTGTTCCCTCTAAGCTGAGTTAGTGTGAGCCAGCTCACAGTTTTTTAGCCTCCGGCTCACACATTTTTGTCTCAGCTCAGGAAGGAGGGCTCCAGAACAAACCAAATTAGGCAGCAGCCAAATCTCTCGCTCACAACTTTAATGTCAACAGCTCACAAAGTAGAATTTTTGCTCACAGGGCTCCATCATAGCTTAGAGGGAACATTGCTCCTGTCCATTGTGAACGGGTGCAAGGGGCTGGCCGGGGGTCCAGCGACGCACAAGCAGAAACATAAATGGACTTAAAAGAAGTGTCCTGCTTGCACAAGATCCTGGGCCACACCTAGCGCATTCCTCCCAGTACGTTACAGTGGCCAGTTGCACGAGATTTTTGACACGCCAGCGAAGGCACAAGAAGTCTGACTCAAGAGTCAGCAGGCCCCACGGTCCTGGTGCAAGTGGGAATGCAGTAGAGAGGTGGCCGGCCCCCACAGAAATCTCCCCGCCCCCTGCCCCACTGAGCACGCTCCACACACCAGGAGTCCCCAGCAGGAGGTAGCCGCTGACCCAGGGCGGGGCGGGAAGGCTCATGCCACATAACGGGGTTTGGGAGGGGGGGGGGGGGGGGGGGGGGGGGGGGGGGGGGGGGGGGGGGATGCCCTGCACTGGAGCACCACACACAGCCACACGACTTGCTGGGACCTGACTTGGGAGACACACACACACACGCGCGCGCACGTGCGCATACACACACGGCACAATAGGCATCACAAGGAAACAGCCAGGACAACCCTAGGGAAGCGGCTGCTGGCCAGGCCAGGCCAGGCCCCAAAAGGCAGGCGAAGGAATAGCTCAGGCACTCGTGATCTGCAGACCCCCAGGCACGGGACGCGGCTCAGGTCCCCCCCAGCCCCTTCCCATGAGTCCTCGGAGGCAAAACCCTGCTTTGAAAAGTCTGCTAACCTCAAAGCATCCACAATACCAAAACGTTCACTCACAGTCTTTAGCACAGGGAGGGACAACACACAGTCTGCAGGCTACGAGAGGTGTTTTGGAGGCTCTGGCAAAGTTTTTGTGTTGTTGTTGTTCTTAAACTCAAAAATGTCTAAACCTGACATTGTGTCTGAAAAACTCAGCAGCCACAACGGGAGTTGAGAGTCCGGATTTTTCCTTCCTTCCCACGCGTAGGATGCGTGTCACACCTAAGAGGGTCGGAACCCAGCTTTTGAGTATCTACAAGCTAGCAACCTCCAGACACTCTTCCCACTAAAGACTTGTGTCTGTCTGCCCCTCGACAGCATGTGTGTTCTCGGAATGGTTGGGGGGGGGGGACACATTCTTCCGTGACTCAACCAGATGGGCCGGTCTTGGGTTTAGACCCATGGGGGGCTGTGATAAGCCAACACGCTCGACTGACTCCAGAAAATTCCAGCTTCCACTTTGATTTCTTTTAAGAGAGAGAAAATGGTTAGCCTTGGGGTTAAAGTTTTTGGTCACTAACTCCCCCCTCCCAGAGGTCCTCAGTTCTGGCAAATCTGCCCTCGGTTTAAAGGTAAAGGTAAAGGTTCCCTTGCTCGAAAGCCAGTCGAGTCTGACTCTAGGGTCATCTCCGTTTCAAAGCCGAAGAGCCAGCGCTGTCCGAAGACGTTTCCGTGGTCATGTGGCCGGCATGACTCAACACCAAGGCGCACGGAACGCTGTTCCCTTCCCACTGAAGTGGTACCTATTTATCTACTTGCAGTTTCTTGCTTTCGAACTGCTAGTTTGGCAGGAGCTGGAACTAGAGATGGGAGCTCACTCCATCATGTGGCACACTCGGGTCTCAAACTGCTGAACTACCAACCTTCCACAGCCTGCAGTTCAGCGTCTTAACCACTTGAGCCACCGCAGCTCCTTCTGTTTAGCTGGTGGGAAAACACCAGTCGGCCCGAGGGATGGTCTTGGCCCCAGCAACAACAGATTTTGCCAACATCAAGGCGAGAGGGGTGGGGGTAGGGGCAAGGGAGCCCGTTGCAAGCAAAGCTACAAGACTGGGAACGGAAGTCCCAGCATCCTCTGGGATCCTCTGAAATCCCCGCATCCTCCCTAGAGCCCTGGACTTTCCCCCGCAGCTTGCCTGCGGGGACTGGGGGCCGATCAAGCGCAGGCCCTTTGAGAGACAGGAAGCCGCTGACGGCACCCGAACCCACTCCGCCTCGGCTCCTGTCCAGCCACTGGTGCACCGGGCTGAAGCTCTCTAGGCCTCACAAAGTGGAGTCCGGCAGCCCTGGCAGCTCCAACCTGTGACAGGCGCACTGGAGCACACCAAAAAGTCCAGATTCTGAAAAATATATACGTATAGCCAAAAACACCACACAAAAACAGCACCTCCCCACACACTATAAGCATGCTGATTAAGTAAAACCAATAGGGACCTGTCAGGAACTAGGGAGGAGAGAGAAAGGTGAAGAAGATGCTTTTGCACCACCACCCCACGCACCCACCACCGGTCGGCCCCCCCCCCCGGGAGGGCAGAGGGACCCTAAGGAGGCTGCTGCTGTATCCTGAGAGCTGTAGGGCACAGCTTCATCCCTTTCTTTAGCCCCAGACCCATGATGGGACTTTTTGGCCCGAAGGAAGCAAGTAGGCCAGCTGCCAGCCACCGGAGCATTCCTCCGCAGAAGGCTGGGGCCTGACGCCCAAGTGCTGTTCTCTAGTGACAAACGTCTTCCACGGCAAGCCACCCCTCGGATGGCGGCAGTCTTGGCGGGTGGAGAGAGAATGCCCTGTTTCGGGGTATGCATCGGGGGTGTGTGTGTCAGTCAACGGAAGATCTCCTCTAACCTGCCCTGCAACACTCTCTTCCGGCATCCACAACGGCACACCCTGCAGGTGATGAATCAAACAGACGACGCACTCAGAGGCACAGATTTAGCAACTGCAGAACTTGGCTTTTTATGTTGCAGGATTCCAGACCCAGGTAGATGCTACTGGAAACAGCCAACCATCCTGCCCTGGCTCAACACCAGACTGTGCGGGGAGACAGTAAGCCACTTCCACCATCTTCTCCTTGAACATGAGAGGCCACTTCATTGGAACGGGTCACTGCATGATAGGATTTCTAACCTTAGGTGGTCTGGACAACTTCTGGGCACCCTGATGTCCTCATTCCAAGACATCCAGTCTCAAAATAGCTGCATTCGCCTCCCGAATTCCCACGAAAAAGCAGGTATGGGCGCTCCACACACTACACCAATTCCCCATCGCCAAACATCATCTGCCAATCCACCACAGGACTGCGTCAAATACCCCAACATGCATGTTTGGTTAGTAGATTCAAAATCCATGTCAGAATGGTCTTGGTTAGATGGACAACTCGGTGCATGCCCGTTTCTCAGCCAGCAAGCACAGATAGGGCGTCTCACTCGGTGCACAAACACGCGTCATGCTGTTTTGTCTTTCTGGGGGGCGGGGGTGGGGTGGATGGGCAAGTAGGTGGTTCTGGGTTCAGGCACTCAGGAGAGGGGACTCATGCCACATACCTTGCTCAGCCAGGCCGGCGGCAGCGCTCAGGGTGGCCGAAGCAGGGGCGGAGCTCTGCCTGCCGCCAACTGATTGGACACAATCATTCAGTGGGAGGAGCCGTAATAAAGCAAGAGAGGCCCAACAGCAACGGGAGAGCAAGGTGCAAGTAAATTAGTTTTGAAAGAAAAGTGGGAAGAGGGGAAGCACAATATTTACACAAAAAAAAAGAGAGAGAGAGAGAGAGAGAGAAGTAATTTATTCCCCTGAACACACGAAGCCAGCACAGAGCATCAGACATCAGGAATGTTGTTCAGAAAGCTCCAGACCCGGCTGTAAACGACCTTTATCAGAAGACTCGAGAATGGCGTTCTGGATCAGCAAAGCTCAAGAAACGGGTCTTCACACAACAAGAGGCTATAGTTCGATGTAGTTTGTGGTTCCAGAGGCCGCACGGTAGGCTTTGGGGACGAAGGGAGGAAAGAGGTGGGTGCGACAAACACAGCTGAACGTCTCAGCGGCGTCTGGATGTACCAGAACACAAGAGTTGTTGAAACAAAGCAACCGGCCAGTGACAGGTACCTCTTTGGTTACTGAGTACCAAGGAGGTCAAGGCAGAGAAGTCCAGTCAGTGGCTATCAGTGTTCCTTGAATGGGAAGTACACAATTTTGACGGAAAGTTAGAGTCCCAGGGCAGGATTCGGGTGAACCAGGTTCAAATCCCCACTCTGCCGTGGAAGCCGGCTGGGCGACCTTGAGCCAATCACACAATGACTGGCCCAAGGCCAGAAATGAAGATGGACACAACAGTGCTGTATGTTGCTCCAGATCCCCAACAGGGAGAAAACGGCCCGTGGGGGGGGGGTATCCAAATAAATAAATGAACGCTTTTGACATGTTTTAAGCAGTGGTAGTCTTCACCGGAGTTTCTTTCGTCCACTGCCCCATTTCCTCCACCACCCCTCCGTTCCTGAAACGACTCAGGGGTACAGACAGAATTTTGGTTTCCACTCACTGAACTCCGACATTTGCTGATAGATGGGTTCCCCCACTTTGGCTCAATCAGTTTCAAATAAACACAACAACATTAAATGCAGGATTAGAAATTTTGCAATTTAGTCTAAGAGAAACCAGGAGGAAGAAGAGGGAGCAGCCCTTAAAACTGCTTTGCACGGAAAATGCGCACAGCCCCGTGAAGCATCTGATGTCGGGGCGACTCTCCAGAAACTGTCAACATAGTAATATACTTTATTGTCATTGTACATAGTACAACGAAATTAAGATGCAATCATTTCGGTGATCTACAACAATATTCATATACACTCACACAACCATTCACAACTATCTCATAACTCCCTTAAGGTTCACATAGCAACTTAAAACCACCAATGTCACCCGAATTCCAATTTCATACAGCATTTAAGGCAGTAATAGCTCTCGAATAAAAACTATTTTTTAATCTGTTTGTCCTTGTTTTAATTGTCCTATATCTTCTGCCCGAAGGCAGCAGTTCAAACAGGGAATGTCCAGGGTGTGACAAATCCTGCAGAATGTTTTTTGCTTTTTTCAAAAATCGAGAACTATACAATTCCTCCAGGAATGGGAGGGGGCAGCCAATGATCTTCTGGGCTGTGATGATAACTCTCTGGAGTGCTTTCCTATCCACAACCGTACAACTGGCAAACCAGGCACAGACGCAGTATGTTAAAAACGTCTGCCTAGAAGGCAGGATACTAAACAGAGACCTGAAATCAAGGACAGCATTTCAAGGTGATGCAAAAAGTGGAGGAGAAACTGATCAGAAGCAGGAGAGACCCTGGGGACTGTTGCGTGGCCGGCAAAGGAAGCCATGTCTTTCGAAGTCACACAGTCTACCGCTGTCTACTCTGGGGTGCTTGCTCTTCCCAAAGGAAAACCAAGCAGATAAACTGGGAACCAGCTCCTGGGAGACCTTCCTAGAAGAAGACAGCATTGACAATACTTGACATTGACAGAACACATTTCAAACAGTCAAAGCACCTCATGTATATCTTCAGTCAGCGAGCCATGGCAGGAGCTCCTGGGGAGGAGGCCTTGAAGCGGCTGACCTCTTTTCTCCCAGGTCAGGGACAGAAGGTGCTGCTAGGATGACAGAAAGCGTCATCTGGACACCCCTTGGATCTGGAACGTGGAGGTGTTCCAGCTGCAGTTTACACGGCTGGGAAAGTTAACGGCTTTTCTGCTACGCCCGCTTGCTTTGCCACGTGCGCAAGGTATATCCATTGGCTCATGCTTACGGGGGGATTGTTTTATTTCATTTATTTATTTATTTATTTACATTTATATCCCACCCTCCTCGCTCGCGGGCTCAGGGCGGCTTACAGTACACAGGCGTAAAACAACACCACAGTTACGCAATCAAGGCACACAGTGCAATAAAAATACGGTTAAAACATTTTAAAAACAGTTAAATACAATGGGCAACTCCCAAGGATCCAGCACGACTAACACACAGCGCGACTAACTAGTAAAACAGTAAATCACCGTGTACAATTAAACAATATTTGTTGGTTTTTATATGCAATGTTTAGAATGCAATTATTAACAAAATTACAACAATAACACTACAATATAGCATTTTGAAATATGGGTGAGTTTATAAAATGTAAAATGCTCCTCTATATATTAGAGTAATTTTAGAGTAATTTTTATGTTTTTGGTTATTAAGCATGTTACACTCCATTGCAGCTTGCAGCACTTCATTCTAATAAAGAAATAATTACAGAATGACAAACCTGAAGAAGGACACGCAAACGGACAGTGTACTAGAACTCCGTCGTAAATACTGTATCGTTTGTCTGTAGCTAGTACTGTATTACTCTGTATGTACTGCTAAGCTTTATATCACATATTGTAGTGTTATTGTTGTAATTTTGTTATTAATTGAATTCTAAACATTGCATATAAAAACCAACAAATATTGTTTAATTGTATACGGTGATTTACTGTTTTACTAGCTATTATACACCGTGGTCCTGTTTGTTGTAATGATTTCACTATAAGTCAGAGGCCCTAGTACTGACGGCCATTCCTGACACAAGCTGTACGCGTGTTCTTTAGTACTGGATCCACTAATAAACAGTTATCTTCTTATGAAGCCCTGACATCCTCTCACCAGGGTTCCCTCTAAGCTGAGTTAGTGTGAGCCAGCTCACAGTTTTTTAGCCTCTGGCTCATACATTTTTGTCTTAGCTCAGGAAGGATGGCTCCACAGCAAGCTAAACGATGCAGCAGCCAAATCACTTGCTCACAACTTTGATGCCGGTAGCTCACAAAGTAGAATTTTTGCTCACAGGACTCCACAGCTTAGAGGGAACATTGCCTCTCACCCTATGTTGTCTAACATCTACATGTGCCCCCTTGCCCAGCTGGGGCAGAGTTTCAGGCTGGGTTGTTATCAGTATGCAGATGACACCAAGCTGTATCTGCTGATGGATGGATG